GATTAAGAGGGAGAAGCCTTGCCCTAAATCCCTAATATGGAGACTTAAACTATGGAGAAACGTCTCCTAACACTCCAAACTCTCCTCAGCCTCATCACCATCTTCCTGGGTCAAGTCCAAACTCCGGATCCAAATCATAAGACCTCCTGTTATCTGGCCCCACCTAATTCTTTTCAAACCTCAACTCCTACCGTCCTTCTTTTTTTTTTTCCCCCCACTTTTTAAAATTAATTTATTTATTTTTTAAATTAAATCTTTATTGTTCAGATTATTACATTGGTTCCTCTTTTTTCCCACCATAACTCCCCTCCACCCAGTTCCCACCCCACCCTCTGCCCTCACTCCCCACTACCTTCCTTCTTAAAATTTCTGTCTCAGCAACACTGGCTTTACTTGGGCATTTGAGTGTGTGGGCGTGTGCACACAAACTGTTCCCTCTGCCTCCAATGTCCTCTCTGCTCCACCTGACCCTACCATCTAGAACTCGGCTACTAAAAAGCATGGCCCTGCAGCTCCAGCCTCCCAGGGGCCTGTTAGAAACAGAGTTTCAAGTGTATCCCAGGCCTACTGAATCAGAATCTGCGTCTGAGTAAGGTCCCTGCTGACCGCACTACTACATTTTTACATGGAACCTTAAAGTTGGAGAAGCCCCTCACTGAGACCCCAGGTCTTATGTCCAGAAGCCCTCTTTGACAAACAGGAGCCCCTGCCTCCCACCATGCCCGGGCAGCGGCCCTCTTCAGTACTCCCAACCTCTTGCTCATCTCACTTGTTATAGAGTATCTTGCATATCCCCATCTGTTTATGTGTCTGTCTTCAGTTCTAGACCAGGGGCTCCCCCTACCCCAGGCTGCAGACCAATGCCATCCTTGTGTCCCCATGTTGTATAAGGTCTAGCATATGATTGGAGCTTTAAAAAATGTTATTCGTCACAGCTAATAACCTCTAGAGTCCTTGTGATTTTAAACTTTAGTAACTAACTTTAAATAACTATCTTTAACTTTAATAATAACTAACTTAAATAACACTTTTAATAACCTTAAATAACTAATAGCTTTATTAACTTCAATAACAAAAACTGTAATCACTAATCTTAATAACTAACACAGATACTTGTGAGCTACATGTAAAAGTATTACAATTTAGGATACTCTTTTTTTTTTTTTTGGCCGGGGCAGCTGCTGCGAGGACGCCATGCGGGCCGGGCGGGGCAGCGGGACAGGGTCTAGGTTACTCTTATTACACATTTGAATCCATATATTTTGAATGCATTTAATTTTTTAATATTTAAAATATCATGTAATTTTAAAATATTATAATATTTATATTTTGCAATGGAAACTTTCAAATATACATAAAAGGAGGAAAGAAGAATGAGCCTGGCACTCTGCATCAACAAATGTCCACTTTTTTTTTTTTTTTTACTCTGAGGTTTTTTTAAAATTGATTTTTAGAGAAAGAGGAAGGGAGAGGGAGAGAAAGAAACATTGTGAGAGTGGAACATCAACTGGCTGTCTCCTGCACGGCCCTCCTGCACAATGGAGCCCGTATAGAGAATCTAACCGGCAACCTTTCCATACACAGGATGACACCCAGCCAGGGCCAAATGACCACTTTGTAAAAAAATAAAATAAAAAAATTCTCATTTCATCTATTTCCCCCACCCCACCCACTCACTTTTGGGGAGGCTGAACCATTTTAAAACAAATCCCAGATATATTATTTTAACCACAAATATTTCAATATGTATCTATAATTTAAAAGAACTTTATTGTACCTAATACAATTAACAGTGATTCCTTAATATAATCTAATAGACTGTATTCAAATTTTATTATTTCAAAGATGAATTTTTATAGTTGGATTTATAGAAGTCAGGTGAATGATAGTAAACAAAAAATAGCTCTCAGAGATGAAAGGTAAGTTTTTCATGCATGTGGCCCAAAGCAGCTGTGTGTGAAGAAAATTATATTAGCTTTTAATGCCATTTTCAGGTTCCTCCCCCAACTCACAACTAGATTATCTACCTAAAAAAACAACACTGTTATAAAGAACCGATAAGAAAAATAGAGCAAAGCAAGAGCAATGCTGAGGTCCATACAAGATGTCACTCAAGCAGTGAAATAAGTGGGAATTAGATTGGTGAGGAAGGTTTTTTACAAAAGAGAGATAAGCAAACAACAGATTTTAAGCCAAATGATTTCCCCCGTAATAGTCAAACCAGGACTTACAGATTTAGAGTGGACTCTAGAGGGATGATAAATTTGATAATGTTGGAATTTGCTTTTAAAACTCTGTATTTCTTTTGCCTGCACTAAAAACTTGGGGATTCTGAGAAACACGTCGGCAGAAGTGGTTTGAGGAGCAAATCCAATTACCGTAGAGTGTGCTCCTTGGAACGGCAAGTTCTGATCCGTGCTCTGTAGGTCAAGAGCACAGTTCAAATTCCTCTGTGCCCCCTTTTGAGTCACACTCCATCGCTGCCTCCCTGCTCGTTTTAGCTCTCTGTGTAACACGCCGAGGGGCAGAGATTCCGGTCTTCACACAATGGCCCGCCATTCAACCACACTCTGCTTTGTCCCTAAACATTCATTCCCCCTGGCTCCTGCTGGGTCTGTTATATTCAGATATGAACTTTCCAGGAGTCTGATCATGTCACAGGCCTTTTCCTGTATGACAAGTTCAGTGCTAATCATGAATAGCGGGGCTTCACACAGAGGGTTCATATTATTCATGAAAATTATGACTCCACATCCAGAAATAGGGCAAAACTGGCCTAAAATAGGCAGGCATGTATTCAGTTGAGTCCACTAAGGCAATTACCAAGGTCTCTTGCTGCAACTATCACAGGAGTCTTTCTCAACTATGCTAATCAGAAACACTCGATGCACAATGTTCTGCCAGATTCAAGGTTTGAGCCTCAGCTTGGTGGGGAGCCTTGGTGCCCACAGGGTGAACGTAAGGCTTTTCCAAAGAACCTCAATATCATCAAGCCAGGCCCTCCCAACCCCCTCAAACTAGGTACTGCCCAGTGCTTGTTCCAAATTTCTGTAAGTCTCCCTACCTAGACCATTTCAAGGCCAGCATTAGGAGCTTTGAGAGGGTTATCAAAGGGCCATACAAAAAGGAAATGATATTAAATTTCCCTTTTTTGGAGCAACAAATATTGAATTAGAGGGGTACTAGATGGCTTGTACCACTTTTGCTCTAATTTTCTCTTCTGAACCTTAGTTTCAGTGACCACATTGAGTCAGCTCCCACTGGCCCAAATTATATTTTATAAATGCAAGTTGAGGATTATCTTTCCAAACAAAACTGCCAGATTGAAATCCCCTCTTTGCCATTCCTGAGAGAATGACACACATAGGCTGGTACTAAAAGACTATCTTTGTGTCGAACAAATGGACCGAGGAAAATCTGCTTTCCTCTCCCCCTGTCCCTTTCTTCTTTACATAACTAGGGCCAAATGAGATGTTTTTCATTTTAAAAATTTGATTAAGCAGACTGAGCAAAAGCCCTTTCTTCTGGTCTTTACTGTTTTCTCAATTGTGGGACTGAATCAAGACATACGCATGCTGGAACGATAGTGAAACCAGAACCTAACTGCCAAGCAGGGGTGACATTTGGAAGTTTAACTTATGAAAGGTGAGCACTGGGCCTGCAGCACCAATTTAGAGGCCACCCTTTCCCCTTGAGGCATCAGAATCTGGAAAGCTGCAGTGAGCATGAGTGTGGGGGTCCCAGGTTCCATGCAAACCACCATATCACTCTATATCAGGGGTGGGCAAACTTTTTGACTCGAGGGCCACAATGGGTTCTTAAACTGGACCGGAGGGCCGGAACAAAAGCATGGATGGAGTGTTTGTGTGAACTAATATAAATTCAAAGTAAACATCATTACATAAAAGGGTACGGTCTTTTTTTTTTTTTAGTTTTATTCATTTCAAACGGGCCGGATCCGGCCCGCGGGCCGTAGTTTGCCCACGGCTGCTCTATATACACAGGCTCCTGACCTGAGGAATATGGAAGGAGGCAGGGCAAGGAGCAGGTTTAAATAACAAGGAAAAAAATTACTCAGGTAAAATGACTATAAATGAGCTGTCCTGTTTCAGCTCTGGGAACTGAGAAACCCTGCCCATTTGGCATATTTAAGAAGATATTACAAACACTACATTCGGAATCTCCTTATAGTACCATGTTTAGTTTTGGTTTCTGTACTTTAAATCTTCCTACAATATTTTCTACCTTGTTTTAAAGTATCTTTCTAAGGTTCCCTGCCACATCATATATTTCCTAAGGGTCAGGGTATCTTCCTGCCTTTGTATCTTGGATATCATAAACACTAATTATAGGAATAAAGGAGTGAAACAGTTAGAAAACAGGCCTCTTAGTAAAAGACTAAAGAAACTGGGATGTTTGGGATTTGTTTTTTTTGGTAGTAGAAAGGGACAAGTTGTAAGTTTTCATAAAAACAACAGAACCTCTAAATGCTAATGTGAGGAAAAGGTCTATCCCATTGGCTTTGGAAGGTATCTAATTAGATATTTACTAAATATCATGTTTCAGGGAACACAGCACATTAAATCCAAATAATAAGTAGTGTCATAACTTAGTTTCACTGTCTTTATTAATTCTAAAAAAAAAAAAAAATTCATTCACAAAAGTATAAGGTACTTTCCCTGGCTTGCTACTATTGCCATCTCTACCCATGAAAGAATAAGCATGAGGAAACTGAGTAGAAGTTAAAATTCTGGTTGGTTTATCCATCAAGGAAATGGGATCCGAGGGAACCAGGCTTCCCCATTTCTGAAAAGCTCAACAAGAGAAGTGAAAATCCTCAGGCCAGGATGGCTTCTCCCTTCACCTGCTTCATGAAATCCAGCTACCTGAACTGCCTGCCCTCCGGCAGCAGCCTTCATTCTACACTCTCAGTGTTCAGTGTCCTGAACCTGTGGGGTGCGTGAGGGTCCTGAACCTGCAGGGGTGCGTGAGGGTCTTACTCTGGCAAGCAGGGATCTCGCAGTACTTCCAGTAGACGCCGTCCTCCTGCTCCGCCACGTAGCACCAGGGGCTCACATCTCCGTCTGGGTTTCTGTTGGGGAAAAGGACATACCAGTAACATTTTTGTCATTTTAAGTCAACAGGCTCATTGCTTTTCAGTTTTACCAAAAAGGAACGCTTCGGCTTCTGTTATTTTTCATAATTGGTATATACCTCAATGCCACCTCTTATGAAGAAAAAATTGGTAATACCTTCTTCCTCCAACATATATTTCAGAATATGGGAGCAGGAGGAGGTTGGGGGGTGAGCAAAGCTGATATATATTTACACAAATTCACTACAGTGTAACCGGGACAACTGACCACTGAACAAATCATGACAAACAGCACTGTGTAAACATGGCAATTCCCACGGCTGAGAGAGCACAGGTGCTCCTTGATATTGTGGATAAGAATGTGAAGGATGCAAACGGTCAGGATGGCAATTTGGTAATTAAGAGTCAAAAGCCCTCAAAATATGCACACTCCCTTTACTTGGCAATTTCTCCTTTAGTATTTTATTCTAAGGAAATCTTTACTTATAAAGATGTTCATCACAACATTTTTATAATACAAAAAAGTTAGAAACAAAAATTAATGACTGCTTAAATAAATATGTTATAGCCATATAAAGGAATGCTAGGCAGCTCGTTAAAATGTGGTGTAGAGACACACTTTATTAATATGGAAAATTTACATATCATAGACTCCATTGATGAGCTTTCACCAGATCAGTCTGGTCAACTTATGTTTCATAGAAATGGGTCCTTGGGGTGGTGACACAATACAATATACAGATGATGTATTGTAGAACTGTACCCCTGAAACCAACATAATTTTATTAACCAATGTCACCCCAATAAATTCAATGTAAAAAAATAGGTCCTATTCTTATCTTAAAACACCAATTTCTTAGAGAATTCTGAAGAAAACTAAGCCAAAGGGTTTCAATCAGAACCTAAAATCCTGTAATCCTGGCACCAACTTCTGATATAGCAATAATATTTTTAAAAAATTAATTTCACATTTCTGAATGAATGGCTTGGAATGAATGCCCTTCAGGGTCTTCAACTCAGAGATGCCATGACAATAACGGGCAACACTGCAGAACCAGAACAAAAAAGGGCAGGGGTTACTGGACACACAGAAAAGCCTGGCCTCTCTTCACTCTTTCCAAGTCCCTTTCTTTAGACTCAGAACACTGGAAACCTGACACTCTGGTGAGGCCGGAAACGGGCATAAAGACCCAACAGCCGGAGCTTTGGAGCAACCCCTATCAGGCTCGAGAGGGATAAGTCTATTGTGTGGCCCAGAAGATAAGCCGCCCTAAAGCACAAAGGGTCCTTTTATTTTTTGTGCCCAAAGGCAGGTGCCAGTGCCAATTCTGCTCTTCCCCGTCTCTCTGTCTTCCCTCTAATCCAGATAGGTCGAGCCCAGAAAAGTGCGTTCCCATCACTCGCCATCTCTCAGACATCTCAACTGTGATGGGTCTGGAAACATCACACAAGACAAACAGTGTCGGATGTCAGCTGAAAAATCAAAGCAGGAGAACTTGCACAAAGCCCTGCTTTAAACAGTATTTCACTGTCATTTTCCTCCCTCTATTCAGTGTTCAGCTTTGATGTAGTATTTGGTAGAGACCTTAGAAAAACAACTGTTTATCAATGTCAAAATCATTCTGAAAAGCATCAGAATAGCTTAATAAAGAACAAGCAAATTCATCTTTGACTTCACTGCAGTGCTAAAAGCAAAAGGCCCAGACTCTCTGATGTGACAACAATCAACAATTTCAGCCTCTCTTTTCTGAAGTATACACTGGAAGACCAGGTCAGGGACATTCCATCAAGTCAATGCAGGGAGGGCGGCAGCAGCCAGGGCTGAGGAAGGCGGTCTCCCCCGCTCTCTTAATGAACACTTACTAGTGCGTGTCTGGGAGCCGTAGCGAGAACAGGGTGCTAATCTATGAGAAAAGATTTTTTTTTTCATCTGAATGAAACCTCATTGGAAATTTCAAATTTACCTTAAAGTCAGACTTAAAAACAGGAGCTCTTCTGAGAAGACTTGCTTGATAGAAAGCAACAGAATCATAGAACAAACCAGTGGCCCACTACCAAGAGATACTTTAGAACAAGAACATAAATATGTAAAAACAAAAAACAAACACTGGTTTCTCTTCCTAAACACTCTTCCCAACCATACTATTCCCATGAATAGAAAAACCAGGGGAAGGGAATAAACCAGAAATGGAGCGGGGTTAAATTTTTAATTATGCAAAAAAAAAAATTTAATGAACATGTATAGAAAGCAACAGAATCATAGAACAAACCAGTGGCCCACTACCAAGAGATACTTTAGAACAAGAACATAAATACATCGATGAGAGAGAAACATCGATCAGCTGCCTCCTGCACATCTCCTACTGGGGATGTCCCATGAATAGAAAAACCAGGGGAAGGGAATAAACCAGAAATGGAGCGGGGTTAAATTTTTAATTATGCAAAAAAAAAAAATTTAATGAACATGTATAGCTTTAAAAATAAAGTATTTTTTAAAAAAATAATAAGTAATTCTTTTATTTAAAAAAATAAAAGAATTACTTAATGAGCATTTGTAACTTCAACAATAAAATGCAAAATGTGAAGTAGCATTTATATAACTTGTTGCCTCTGGGAAGTGGGGCTTGGTGGGGAGGATTTGCCAGGAAAGAGGTAAAATGGGGGACTTTAAACAATATATGCTTGTTGTTTTTGAAAAAGCTCTTAATATTTGTATAGTAACAAACTAGAAACTAATGCAACACAACTGTGGGGAAATGGCCGGTTGGTACAAATGAGGGCAGAGGTGAAGGAAAGAGCTGAACGCCCAGGGATAATGAACATGGACCACAGGCCTGGTTACTGCAAGACAACCACAAGGGTCCTAGAGTGTTAACAGAAATACATGGAGAGGGCACAAGGTAAACAGTGTGGCCTATGCAATGCAGGGGATAAATGTGTTGGCTCAGCTGGGTCAACACGCCATGGTTGAGACTCCAGCTTACTGATGGAACCGGGGACACTGTAGCTCAGGAATCACTTTTCCCTGTTCCAATGGCTCAAGAGGCTGCCTTTGCACCTGTCCTAATAATAATTAAATTCAACACATTGCTGAACCGTGAGTCACATTACCAGGATCCTGGGTATAAACAGCTAAAACAAAGCTATAACCAAAAGTGCTTAGAATTTTGCTCTGATCCCCACAGACCAGTAATTCTTTACTTGTTTTGGATCACTAACAACTGAGAATCTGATCAGAGTCATGGGTCACCTCCCCAGAAAATTGCAAGTACACATTTGGAGCACCATGGACCTCAGGTTAAGAGCTAGAGTCAGACAGGTGAAGAGCAAAGAAACACCCATCTAGTGAAAGGAAGGAAACAGCACACATGTGATGGCTGCCGCTGCCCCTAGAAAGGTTATCCTGGTCTGGCAAAAAGGGGATAATGCAGGGCAGCTTTTTTTTTGCTCCGAAGCACAGGGAGGTCTGGGCCACAGATGGTGCTTTTGCTTGACCACTACATTCATGGCAGCTTAAGAAGCTTTGCTGTCTGTGTGTCCACTGGTGGAAGGACCAACTAAGAAAACCCTCCCAAAGAGACATATAAGTGACCAGACAGAAAAGCAGAGCTCTGGAAACCAGTGTCAAAGCAGCCCAAGTGGAAAAGAATGGTAGAAAAAAGGTCTGAGAGAAAGATTTAAAAAATAGTAACAAGAAAGGCCTTCTGAGTTGGCCAACAGGAGACAAAGATGCTTTCCCTAGTAGCGAGCAAGGTTGGAAGAGGAGACGAGATGATTATTATTTTTTTTAAGTACTGTGTGGCTTCATCTTACCTGCAATAGTTATGCTCGCCCAGGCCCCCCTCCCCATTGGGGTAATTCAGAGTGTTGTATGGATGCTGGAAAGTCTCGTTCCAGAACAGACATGGCTTCCCGCCTTGGAGTGCCGTCCAGTTCTGCGTCCCCCTGTAATCTGCACCGTTGGTTGTGAAACATTCTAGGAGAAAGAAAAGACAGAGCAAACTAATTTTTTGGCAACATCTCTGGTCTCCTCCCTCTCTGGTTGATGTTTTATTTGTTTTCTTTGGACCAAGTTAGAAATGGATAGTGTCTTGCTAGGTCCCGGACACAGCAAGATTAACATCGCAAGGGCTGAGTAATCTGAATCGAGGTGCCCTCCAAATGCTCGGCTCATCTTGGCACTGGTTTGTCTACAGACACTAGAACATTTCCCCTTAAAGTATACAGATTCCAACTAAGATGTAAACAGCGAGTTTAAATGTATTGAAGCCCATGAAGTGAACCAGGAAACCCCCAAGTCTGGGAACAGTTGGTAACAGCCCTCCACGAGGAATTCTGGGTGCTCCGAGGGGGTCACGGCTCTCGCCAGTGTCTCTGTGTGGTAACTAGAACCAGGTCACCAGCTGTAACTGAGCTCTCCCCTACAGTCTGAAAGGCTGCACTGACACTTGGGTTTAATAAGACCATCGGATACAGCAACGCTTTGGAATCCCAATCACACAAGTCTGGGAATGACTCACATTCCCTGGTAATGAAGAACAGTCCTCCCCACGCTGCCTGAGATAGAAGTGCAACAAAATAGTCAACAGCAGGGAGGAAGGGCCGAGCTGGCATTTTCTCTCACCTGTTTCTGAAATCCCTTCAAGACACACTGAACGTGGTCTCTGGTCTATTTTGTAAAATGGCAAAATCCTTGCAGGTGCAACAATGTGCTTCTGAATAAAATCTGCTTCTCAGACTTTTTTTGGGGGGGGATGGGAACTGAGACTGATAGGATTTCCCCCCACATATTGCATGCATTAAATTCACAGAGGTTCATGAGAAAGGCACAGTACAAAGAGCAATTTTTAAAAATTAGCTTAGTTGAAACTGACAGATAGAAACACTTCAAACACTTCTTTAAGATGTATCATTAGGAACCTGACAATCTGGGCGAGTCCCACTACCATTCTGAGCTTTATTTCTTCCCCTCCCCTGACATGCACTGACCTCTAACTTCCGATGTGAAGGACTCCTGTTGCAGTGCATGCGCCTGCTCCCGCGTACGCTTGTGCACAATGTGAACACACTATATTCTAGAAGACATTTCTTTTACTATTTAAAAATCTCTCTTCCTGTACCCCTTTCTCCCACTCTCTGGGCTCTGTGTTTTGTCTCGGATAGCACGGTTTTATGGAGAGCCAAAACAATCTGGAATCCCGGCTGCACAGAACACTCGAGTAATTTATCGTGTTTGTTGCGACATTCATATGTTATGATGTGTGACTTTTCATGTAGCACAACAACCAAACCCTCAACCAGAGTCTGCAAAAATAAAGAAGTTCAAAGGTAATTGAAGGAGGCAGCTCAGTGTAGCATAAAATGCAGTGAACCAAGGAATGAAGCCCTGGCTTCTCGTCCTGGACCTGCTGCTGACCAGCTGTGCGACCTTGGACAAATCGCCATCATCCACATCACCACTAATGCTTACAGAGCGTTTCACCGTGTGCCAAGCTCTGTTCTAAGTGCTGTACAAATATCAACTCCCCACCAACCCAGTGGGGCGGCTCCTTCATTCTGCCATTTTACAGATGAGGCAACTGGGGCACTCAACCACACCCCATACTGCCTCCAGTGCAGTGGTTCTCAACCTTCCTAATACAGTTCCTCATGCTGTGGTGACCCCCAATTTCATTGTTACAAATTGAACATAATTAAAGCATAGTGATTAATCACAAAAATATGAAATTATATATGAGTTTCCCGATGGTCTTAGGCGACCCCTGTAAAAGGGTTGTTCCACCCCCAAAGGGGTCACGACCACAGGTTGAGAACCGCTGCTCTAGTGGAACCCCTCGGCATCGTCCTTATTTTCCCCATATTCTCCCTCACACCACCTCCCACTCATCAGCAAATCCTGCTGACTTTCTTAAACTATATGCCCTGAAACCCACCCTCGCCCCTGCGTCTTAGGTGCCAGCACTTTAGTCCTGTTCACCATCGGAGGACAGTACAGCCTGTTCAGGTCTCACTGCTTCCACTTTTGGGCTTCTGCAACCCATTCTCCACGCAGTGCTCCAAGTTCTCAGGAAGACAGCACTGGGAACAAAACCCAAACCTTCCACCTTGTTGTCTGCAAAGCTTCTGTGACATGGCCCAGGCCCTCCCTCCTGCTACACCCCCCAAGCTCTTCCCCTGGTCACTCACTGTGCACCAGCCACATTGGTCTACTTTTGTTTTCGTCAACACACCACATTACTTCCTGTCTGAAATTTTATTCCCCTAATGCCTGCCATGACACTAGATGTTACCTCCTCAGAAAACCCTTCCCCAACATCTCCACTCCTTTCTTCTGCCCTTAGTTTGTTTGCTAGAGAAAAAGAGAGAGGGGGAGAGTGAGGCTGTGGGCAGGGGTGTGTATATCACACCAGAGCCCTTTCCCAGCCCCAGAGTTAGAGAGAGACCTGGGAACCTGTATTTCTATAAAGCTGCCCAGGTGATTCTTTTAATTAATCAGGTGTGGAAACCACTAGACTAGATGATTCTAAGAACATCAAGCCAATCTTTGCCAATTACTAGGACTTTAATTGCTGTGTGTTATTACATCTTCTTCTCCTATGAGCGGTTGAGGAGTGGCCCGGGAGCCAGAAGTGCAGGCCTTCGCAATAGACAGCAGCCTGTAGGATGGTGGGCTCAGTGTTCCCAGGGGCTCAGATGACTTGATTTGAAACACAGAGAGTCTGGCAGCCACCCACACAGGAGTCAATCCTCATGAACGGGATGAGGTGGCATCTGAGAGAGGGAATGGGAAAGTGCACACTTGTCTGCTTTCAGCTATTTCTCCCAGGCCCAATCCTGTTCTCCTTACACCAGGGAAACTGAGGCAATGTACGAGATTGTCTGATTATCTTTTGAACAGACTTGCCCAGAGCATGTCGATGATAAAAAAAAAAAGGGCAAGAAAAACAAACTTGAGTGTCTAGATCAAAGTTGTGTGTGCATCTTGATTTCATCAGAATACTAGGGTGTGGTACCAGATAATGAGGACCCTGCCTCCCTTCCTTTCTACTGCTATGAAACTGACATAAGCTTTGGCTAGCCGGGCCAAGAGTAGCTGAAACCAAAAAACAAAATAAAAATATCACATGGCCGGCTATATTTATGCATTTGGTGAAAGAGAATGAGCAAGGGCAATAGATCTAATCTCTAGGGGTGTTATTCATTAATTCATTCAACAAATATATATTCAACACCTACTGTGTGCCTTGCACTACTCACAGCATGGGGAAGGCAGTAGTACCCAACTTTCTCTCACCCCAACACAGCTGCGGCTCTCAGATACTCTCCTGTGAGCAGTGAGTCCCATGATTATATCAAGGAAGGTATCAGGTCTAGACTAGAGAAAGGACCATGTCAGGAAGGGTCGGGGTCCTCCACACACGTAGCACATAGAGATTCACTGGGATACAGAGGCAGTGACACCAGTTAAGTAGCTTACACTGTGTGGTTTCAGGAAATCACCTGGACATTTTGGGCCTCAGTTTCTTCACCTGTGAAATGGGGGGATTTGAACCACATGGTCTCAGTGTCTCTTCACTCAAACTAATTTCACACAAATTTTAACAAAATAGTACTGAGGTTCAAAAGTCTGAGGTGATGTGACTAAAATGGATTGAGAGCTCAAAATCTCTTCCAGGCTTCAAATTCTTTAATTCTACATGTTTCTCTAATGGAAGTGAGAATTCTATGGTAAAAAGTAACTCACCTCCCAGGTGGGCTCTCCCTCTGAAAAGGCACCTAAGCACTCTTTTTGCTTAGAAGGAACTACTTCTTCAACAAATAAATTTCAAGGAAAAAAGAAAGAGGGAAACCTGTAGGTTAATAGAGACTCAAGAGACACATCACCTGAACATTGCTTAGATCCTGATTTGAACTGTAAAACACACTGATGAGACAACCAGGGAAATGTGAACATTGACTGGCTGGATATTTGATAATATTAAGGAATGATTGCTAATTTTTCTAGGTGTAATAAGGGTAATAGTACCATTACTATGTTTTTGAAAAGAATTTTTATTATTTAGGGATACATACTGAAATATTTACAGATGAGATAATATATGAGATTTGTTACAAAATATTTTAGTTGAAGGAATGAAAGGGATACAAATGAAATAATATTGGCCATGGATAATAATCACGGAAGCTGAGAGATAGATACATGAGATTACCTTACACTCTTCTATTTGTGAATATGTTCTAAATTTCCTATAATAAAAATATTTTAAAGGGCATCTTGAAAATGGTTATTAACATGTTGTTTTACAATTTACAACCTTAGTTTCTCTTTTTAAAGTTGATTTGAGAGAGAGAGGGGAAGGGATAGAGAGAGAGGAAGAGAGCAAAACCTCCATCAGATTCGACTGCCTCCTGCAGGCCCCCTACTGGGGATATAGAGCCTGCAATCCGGAGGCACCTGCCCTGATGGGAATCAAACCAACAACCTTTTGGTGCATGGGATGATGCTCAACTAACTGAGCCACACAAACTCAATCAGTTAGTTTCTTTTCAAGAACTATAAACAAACTCAATCAGTCATAAATTCAGTCATCTAAAAGCAAGATAGACATCCACATATCATGTCCTTGGACTACATATTAACAGTTCAAATGACCAAGCTGTACTTTTGCCCAAAGTAGAATTACCCACAAAAATAATCACTGTAATTTTTAAATTATGAGTAGTTTCTTCATTAAAATATCTTTTAGATCTTCTTTTCGTTTGAGAAAAGTGTCATTAATAACAGTAACAGGAAAAAGGCCATGCTTCTCAAAGTTATTTTAACTAAAAAATTTATGCTTTTGGCCCTGGCAGGTGTGGCTCAGTTGGTTGGATACTGTCTCAGGTACCAAGGGGTTGCCAGTTTGATTCCTGGTCAAGGTACATGCCCAGGTTTTGGGCTCAGTCTCCAGTGAGGGGCATGCAGGAGGTAGCTGA